AGTTGGGTGTGAAGCGCTACTGGGGACGGGCCCCATTGCGCTTGTCACTGCCCTTGCTGGGTCTGGGTCCCTTTTGTTTGCGGGGGCGCTGGCTCTTGCCTCTGGGGGTTTGTCCACCCCTGGTGTGCCCCCCTGTACGAGGAAACCTGTGCGGAGTACCAGTCGCTCCGCTGGTCCCGGCCACAGGAGCCACGCCAGGTGCAGCAGATGGTAAAGGCGCAGCAACGCTGGCGCTTGCTCCAGCAGCCGCGGCCCCAGAACGAGAGGTAGACGGCACAGGTTCAGAGGGAAGTGTCCCAGGATTCGTTGGCGTCTGGTTGATGCCCTTAATACGGAACTGGACCGATTTGAAAGCCAAGTAGGCCTTCATGCCGGTTTTTTGAAGGGTCTCAACAGATTGGTCGTCGATGGAGAGGGTGAGTGTGATCCCGCCCTTCTCCGCCTTCCTATTGAGAACCTTCCACAGCTCCGTATTAAGGCCATCATTTTGTATCCGGAGACAGGAGAGCGCCTTATCAACGTCTTTGGCCTCCGGATCGGGAATGTATACCACCCCAACCCTTGGTTTGGGCAAGTCGCTCTCATTAATGAGAGCGAGCTTAGCTCCTGGCCACGGCTGTAAGGAAGGTATACATTTCTCAAGCCATTCCCTGGCATGCTGGTTAGCACAGGTGATGAGTAGCCAACCCGGCTTGAATGATAGTCCGCCAAAGGCAGGTCCCTTACCCTTCTCCAAAGTGGTGATTTGGGCCACAATTGCGTTGTAGAGTGACTGCAGCTGTGCGTCAGTCATGGGAGTGGAGTCCCTCACGCCAACTTTGGAGGAAGATAAGGCCGCACTATAGGCAGCTGGAGGTGGTGGGGCCGACGGTGCTTCGCTCGACCTTTGGGACTTCCTCGCTGGTTGTCCCTGTGGCGATTCCTCCTCCGAGCGAGTCCTTTTGATGGAGCGCTCGGATTCGGGTTTCGAAGCCTCGAAACGATACCCCATAGCCCTGAGTTCCGCAAAGGTTTTAGCGGACAGTTCGTAGGCTTTTGCAGCCTCCACTCCCTGTCCCCTAAGAGCCTTAAGTCGGATTAAGGCTGCCCCACTCAATCTTTTGCGTTTGGGTCGGGCAGCATCAGAGGAGGTGGCAGCAGGGTTACCAGTAGGTGATTCAGGGCTTGTAGAAGCCCCTATCGCCATTTCGGTGCCTGCAGTCACCTCCATTGGTTGCGCTGACATTTGGGCGGTTTCATCCGCACCCATTGTCAGCGGCATGAGGTCCTGGCACAATTCGTCCAGGGTTTGTGACGTGGTAACGTCATTTACTTTTTTATCTTTTTGGTCCATATTCATTCAGGTCCCACGAGTAGCTAGGGAAATAAAAATGCCCACCGACAGAGCCCCGCATGTCGATGGGAGGACTTAAAATACTACCCGATTCGTCCAGGTGTCGGATAGCCACCGTTAGCGACTGAGCTCCCCCCCAGCCACGCATCCCTCGGCACGGTACGAATAACACCTTGGATTGGGTTCTAAACTAAAGCTATACATATACGTACATATATATTTCATAGATACACTTACATAGACATACATAAACATACATATATAAATAAAAGTGAAAGCAAGCGCTCGGTGTTTTCTGTTGCGTCTATTTCCTAGTGAACTAGACCAATAACAGGGCTGGCAACCTCGTGAAGGATAGTACACCGAACTTGCCTTGGGGATCTTTGCGACAAAAGCGTCACTCTCCCCCAAGACCAACGCCACCCTACCGTCTCTGAAGGAGACAGTAGGGTAGGCCTGCGCCTACACTACCATGCGAAGCATGTCGTAAGGGAACCGTGAAAGCATAGATCCAGGCCCGCCCCTCCCGTGAGATAGATGTTTTTGTTTATTTTTAACGTATTATGTACACAACATAAGCCCCAAAACAATAGTTATTAAAAAAAATGTCTGTTTGTCTGTTTGCTTGTATGTCTGTTTGTCTGTTTTTGCGTGAGCGTTTCACGCGAAAAGTAATCTACCGATTTCAACTAAATTTGGTGAAGTGATAACTTATTACTCGAGTCAACATTTAGGATACCTTTTGTATGTATTTATATATGTGTGTATTCAGCCCTTTTTAACGTCCCACTGCTGGGCACGGGCTCCCTTCAGTATGAGGGGGATCAGGCCATAGTCCACCACGTTGGCCAAATGCAGGTTGGCGGACTTCACATGTCTTTTGAAAACTTGCTAGGTTCTCTCAGACATGCAGGTTTCCTCACAATGTTTTACTTCACCGTTAAGACAAGTGGTAATTGTGTTAGAAATGATTCGCACATGAAAATATCAGAGGTGCGAGACCCGGGATTTGAACTTGCTTCACTCGGTTTCTCAATCGAGCGCGTTACCACTGGGATACCACTACCTAGATACCTTTTACTTCAAGAAAATCTTTCTTTCCCACGGGAAAATACAATAACTGGTTTTATCGAGTCCTCTCTAGAAACCTTCCGCTGGCTAAGCCTTAAGACCTACATACATCAAAACAATATACTAAAAAATTGTGGGTCTTGAAAAGTCCTACAGAAAAGTTCTGTATTGTATATGTCTATCTCCTAAGTTACACTCGCAATATTTATTCTTATCTATACGTATAATAAAACTAACTTAGTCAAATCGATGTGCGCGTTTCACGCAAAAAGTACTTAACCAATTTTAACTAAATTTTGTATAGTGATAAAACTTAGTACTCGGGTCAACATTTAGGATACCTTTTACGACAGGCAAATTATTCATTCCCACGGGAAAACACAATAACTGGTTCTATCGAATCGTCCTTAGAAATGTATATATTTTTTTTAACGTTGGGAAATGCATTTACGCACGAGGTGTGGGACTCACCGGCAAAGCCAGTACTACCCACTAAAACCATCCCCCGTCTTAATGGGGCGTCGCAGGATCGCTTACGCAATCAACTACGACGCCCCGACGGCCACCACGACAAGGTGAACGTACGTTGGGGGGGAAGAAATTTATATGGCTAACGTTGGCTCAACCTTAAGAGATAGATCAAAACATTGTGCAAGAAAATTATAAGTCCTAAAAAGGTCTATAGAAAAGTTCTACATAGTATATGTCTATCTCCTAAGGTACACTCGCTATAACTATTTTCATTATTATATATTACTGTTTTATTATACGTTATTTGTTCTATCCATATAATAAAACTGTAGAGGTTATTTCTCTGTCTGTTTGTACGGGCTAATCTCCGAAACTATTGAACCGATTTAAGTTAAATTTTGTATGGTAGTACCTTATATCCCCGGTCAATATCTAAGATACTTTTATTCCAGAAAATTAAAGAGTTCCCGTGGGATAGTTAATAAACTATAGTAACTTATACAGCTTAGTACACAACAACTGACGCACCTAATTTCGTAAAATTTGGCTTGCTGATACCTTATATTGCCGGTCAAACAACAGGTTACTTTTCATCCCGGAGAAATGAGCGTTTCCCGTGGGATAGATCTGTTTGTGCTTTTCTAGAGGTGAACCCGAGCGAAGCGAGGGTGAGCCGCTAGTATATTATAAAATACTATCTTGGCAAAATTGTTCATGAAATACTTTTTAAAAACAATGACTAACGTACACGTATAGAATATAGACTCCAAAAAAAAGGTGTGCGCTTCGCCCCAAAAAGTACTAAACAGATTTAACTAAATTGTGTGTAGTGATAACTTATTCGGTTCTACATATAAGATACCTGTTACTACAGGAAAATCTTTCATTTCCTCGGGAAAACATTGTAACCGATTCTATCGAGTCGTCCTTATAAATTTACATTGCTAGCGCTGGCTAAACCTTAAGAGATACATCAAAACAATGTACTAGAAAATTGTAGGTCTTGACAAGGTCTGCAGAAAAATCTGCAATAGCATAAGTCTTTCTCCTAAGGTACACTCCGCAATAACTATTTATCTCTTTAAAACGCACCTAGGGCGGGCGGGCCTAGGGCGGAAATTTTGAGGGGCGCCAAAATTTTTAAGATGACTAAAAAATTAAAAATCGATTGGGTATTCTGTAAATTGTAAGACCAAATTTTAAAGTTTATTTTCTTACGCTCTTACAATCTAAACATAGTACCATTTCAAGGGTAGAATTTCTTTGTTAAAATAATTAATCTATATATTAGGTATACGAAAGAAAAAGGGCGCCATATCGAATTGGGCCTGGGGCGCCATCGAACCTAAATCTCCTACTATCCGCTACTACATCGAACCGTCGCTAGTATAAAATAAAACTCAAATTTTCACATTTATTATATACTCTCAAGTAAAATATACACTGTACACTTAAGTGATAAAACTTACAGTACAGATGTGAACAATATTTATATTTTATAATTAAAAACTACTTAAAAGCAGAGGCAGAGGCTACAATACTACACTAGATATTTTTTTAACTTAGTATACATGTATCAACATTTTGGTTACTATGCATTATACATATAAGTATTTTATTGCACACATTTTGATCTAAACGATTAAGACTTCGTATTTTAAGGTGCTTCCACACCGGAGTTAAAAAATATTAGTAAACATTTGTTACTGAACATTTTATCGCAAAAAAAAACATTTTACAACAAAAGTTATTAAATATTTTCTTTTTATTAAATGTTTTCTATCTAACATTTTATAACAAAACAATTTGAAGCAAAATATAACAATTTGTAACTTTTGCAGGGTTTAGCAGGGTTTGCAGAATAGTTATAAAATGTTAGGAAATGTTCCACAACATGTTTTATTAGTGTAGAAGCTTTGAAAACGTTAACAATATTTAAGTGCTGTGTGGAAGCACCATTACAAAAAAATTGTAAGACCTCATAATTTATACGTCTTAATATATTTCTAAAATAACAATTTTGATTTGATAGTAGATATAGATCAAACATATGTATGTATATAAAAAGTGTGCACGAACATGGTAAGTGTATGTATATGTGTATGTATGTTTGTATGTGTGTTTAATCAAAGCTCATGCTCATGTCAGACATGAGCGTGGCGTCGCGGGCGGGCGTGGCGGGCGCGGCGGGCGACGCCGCCGCCGAGATGTCCACCGGTGGGAACGGGAACTGTGGGATTTCTTCTTCTGCACACACAGATAGATACACATAGTTATTTAAATAAATCTCCAACTATATACAAATTCATTCGCCATATAATATTAAAACAGTGTTTTAAAAATGCTTAAAACTTCTAATAAAATACAAAAAAATATATATCTTATATTATTGAGAATTATTAGATATTATTAGTATCAACAGAAGGGATTTTTATCGACTTAATTCATAAGTATAACTTTACTGGCTACTTTTCTAGTCATAAAATTAAATTTTGATTATATAGCTTTTTTATCGCGCCACGAAGCTCAGTTGTCCCGTAACCGCCTACCGATTCGCTTGTCAATTATACCGCTTCGTTTCTCACTTATATTATTAGTACCTGGGCCACGAAGCTTCGCTCGGAGTTTTTGCTCAAGTTTCTTAAAAAAAAACTTGGATAAAAACAAAAATAAATAATACCTTTGTACCTGACCGGGATTCGAACCCGGACACTTATTCATTCTTGCGCCTTAGCCGCTTGACCATGATGCTTATGCTCGAGCATGCGAAATTATCGAACATAATATTTTGCGTGGAATAATGCAAAAGAAAACGGCATGAAAATTCGAAAACACGCGTTTTCCCTGACATAAGACTACTGTAGATCGATTTATCGCCCCCGAAACCCCCTGTATACTAAAATTCATGAAAATCGTTGGAGCCGTTTCAGAAATTCATATAATATATTTGCTCGTTTAAATATATTAGATTAAAGTATATATTGTGCTAGGGATATTTGTAGCTAACTTAAAGTTAATATAATAAATATATGTAACTATGGACGTTTGATTATCCATCTGCATAACTCAACTATAGTGAACACGCATTATTCACCGACACACACTAAAGACTTAAAGTATCGTGCAAAATTAAAAAGATATGAAAGCAAAGAAAAAAAAGTCAAAAATTGGCTACTGAGTAAAATAATAATATACAAGAGCTGCATGCTCACCGGTAAGCGCAGCGTCCAATCTATCCACAATCGCATCCAACAAGGCCAACGCAACCACGTGGTCCGGGTCCCTAGCTAGGGCTGCGTGTAGGGCGTCTGCCGCCTCCGTCTCGCGCCCCAGTAGGGCCAGGCACAGCCCTCTCGCAGCGAGGGAGGAGGCGCGCGCGGGACGCAGCGCTAGGGCACGCTCGTGCCACGCTAGGGCCTCGCGTGGGCGGCCTAGGGCTCGCGACGCGTGCCCTAGCGCATCTAGTGTCGCTGCCCAGCAGGGTTTCAGCTGTAGATGGATAGAATGGAATTGTATTTGTTACATAATTTGTGGGTTCGTAATTCTTCTTTTCCTAAATAACTTGACCGATTTTTGATGGTTTTTTGTCCCATTTCCTTGTTCCTATATTAACATTTTTTTATGAATATTTCAATTTACAATGTTATTGATATATAATCATATTACTATTACAAATGTGAAAGTTTGTATATCATGCGTGTATGCTTGTAAGTTGTTACTTACACGTTAAAATAACTGGACGGATTTTGATGGAATTTAGTACAAACATTGACTGCGACCCGGAGTAATATACAGTCTAGTGTTAATAATAATATTTGCTGAAGGGTTGTGTTACCTGTATATGATATAGTAAATACAAAAGTCCCATTCAAGCATCGCGTGTAAGTCACTAGTTGCATAAAAATTGTAAAATTTTAACTTTGTTTTCATGTATATACATACGACTATTCGCTCGGGTTTCCCGTGAAACATATTTTTTTTAATTCAATTTACAAATATGATTCTGTTGATTATTTTTCTATTGATGAAAAAAAACTGAGGTTACCCCTAAAACGCACGGTACATAAACATCGTCTTTGACGGACCTTTACTGACAATGTAATTGTGCAAGAGAGTGAAAGAGGAAGTATATTATGTCACAGGCACGTCGCACCTTTGACGCCCGCTTTTCTTCCACTTCGCGATAGAGAGAGGAATGGGGAAGGAGTGTGGTATGGGGGATTATGGGCGTCTGGTTGCACTTCTCTCTGTAACCTTCACCGCGTCGCACAGTCGAGTAATCCTCGAAAAGCGGGACAATACCTGTCCCGCGCGGGACGTTTAATTTTGGGACTAAACTTGTCCCGCGCAGAACTATCGGGGCAGTGCGCACCTGGTCGGGCGGGCCGGCGGCGGCGAGCGCGCGGCGCCACAGCGCGTGCGCGGCGGCCGCGTGCCCCGCCGCCAGCGCCGCCGCGCCCGCCTCGTGCGCCACCTCCGCGCACGTCGTGTCCAGCCGCTCCCACCCGCACGCGCCCTCCGCCTCCGCCTCCGCCTCCGCTTCCGGTACCTCGCTCACCTGCACGCACACACGCATTACATATATTGGGTCTATTTTCCATATCGAAACAATAGTTTCATATAAAGGGGCATCGAGATTTTGGCGTTAATTGATTTTAGTAGGACGAAAGCGGACAGGAGAGAATATGGCTAAAATGAACTGAACGCGCGCGAATTTACGTATTTCTTCGTATTATTAAAACAAATACACATTTTGAAAATGTAAAATGTATAATAGAAAACGAAACGTTTTGTTATTATTAAGAAACTGATGAACTTCTTTGAATTATTTACGCCGCACTAAGGGTTTATTTTGTTTTTTAGAGATCATCTTGGATTTTTTTTCTATCGAGGAAACCACAAACAATTGTGTTTCTAAAGTGATTAATTGCATAATTAAAATTTTAGTAATAACGATACAGCAAGGGATCAAACGAACGCAATTATTTCGTAATTACTTATGAAGAACTACCTATACTTATGAAGTAGAACCTATAGTGTACCTTGGCAGTACTGTGCAACGCGGCGGCGCGCGCCATGAAGCGCTCGCACATGCTCACGTTGTTGAGCAGCGAGCACTCCACGCCCACGTACAGCGGCGGCAGGTAGCAGCCCGGCATCAACTGACTCGCCTGCGACACGCCATAACATACAAACATACATAATATTCTTTCTTATATCTACAAGTTATTTAACATAAAAATAATTCAGTATGTAGTAATCCAGTGGTAGCTCGCTTGGGAAACCGAGTGAAGCGGGTTCGAATCTCGGGTCTCGCATTTCTAATATTTGGGAATTTTTCATGCGCGAATCATTTCGTGATATTTGAAATCATAAGTTATTGCAAATTAACGGAGAAAAAAACGGAAGAACATATCATATAAATACTAATTATATAATAATCTGAAATAAAACATTCAGAATAAGGTTTTAAAACGCATAAATAGATAACATCATAGGAAGAAATAGAGAAAAAGAAAGACAGAGGTAAAGAGAGAGAGAAAGTAACGTAGGTGTACCTTGAAGTAGGCCGCCATGGCCTGGTCGTGCTCGTTGTCGGCGGCGAAGCTGTGCCCGTAGGCGAGCCACACGCATCCCGCGCGCGGCTCCAGCCCGCACGCCTTGCTCAGGTAGCGCCGCGCGAACTCGCTCTTACCTGACACGGTCAATGCTCATCACACTCATTACTACTTTTTTTTATTTTGGGACCTTAACACACAGCACCATCTAGTTCCATAGTAAGCTACGAGGCTTGTTTTATGGATACCAGATAGTTGATACACTACACATATATAACTTTAAATCCATATATTGTTATAAATGTGACACCCATGACTGGAATAGAAACATTCGTGCCCATCACACAAATGAATGCCCCAAGCGGGACTCGAACCCGCGACCGCTGACACGGCAAGTAGGTTCACTACAAACTGAGCCAAATGTATCACCAAATGTGTCGTCTTATACATAAACAACTAATATTTAATATTATAAATGCGAAAGTAGTTCTGTATATCAGTTACATTTCCATGTTTAAATGTTGAACCAATTTTAATAAATTTTGATATAGATGCATTCGGCCTTTGAGAAGGATTTAGGCAACTTTTCGTACATATTTTTTTTTTACTTTTTTTTAGTTCTATGACATTGTCTATATTATTCCTTAGTCTGAGTACATAACTTTAACCCCAACCTACCAATAAGATAATAATAACACCCAACAGCGTACCACGCAGTCCACGACTGAGGGTACGCGTCTACCAGGGCGTGAGCAAAGGCAAAGAGCTCTGCGCTCTTCTTCAACTCCACCAGACAGGCGGCCCTGACCTCTGCACAGCTCCAGGGCCCGGCTGCGTCCAAGGCCTTTAGGGCTTCGGTCCACTCGCCGGCCGCTGCGAGGCTACGCCCCCTTGCTTCGGCCGCTTCCACGCTACGTGTGCGAGCTATGTCTACTGCTGTTTTTATCTGTAGAGAATTTATAGAAATATACTTATGTTTGTGGTCAAAGTCAAGTATATATTAAAAATAGATTTTTTTAGTTAATTAAGTATTCAAACTTTGTCTATTTGAGGAAGCATTAGTTTGAATTTGAAGATATTAAATAATTTTAATGCTACCTTTTTAAAAAACTAGACTAATGCGCTAAATTGCACACCAATGGACAGATTATGCTGATTGTCATAACCCAGACCAAATGGCTAGTCCTAGACCTGGAGGATTAATATTTTGCCATCCCATTTTTACATTTACATAGATAAGTTGGGAAATTCTCAATAACAGTTCAGATTTGGGAAGTTGGAGATGTTTCATCTCATGCCTCCAGCCTGTAAAGTTGTTGTCTGATCTCACTCCAGTCGTATCGAGGGGATATTACTATATTTTAACAAAATATGACAGAAAGCACAAAGCACATATTATTTAGTTTCTCTTATAGTAAAAAAATCTTCTTACATTGCTATCAGCGCCCGGTAAGAAGAGGTATTTGTTTATGGGCGAGTACCGCAGCAGTCTCTCGCGGTAAGCGACCCGCAGCATCGTGGCCTCTGACGCACTCATTTGATTATTAATTGGTAAGGACTCTATGAGTTCACTCTCTGAAAAAATGTTAAAAAAATTGATATAATATACTGATTATTATTGATTTTTAATTCACTGTAAATCAAATTATAATATATCAAAAATAAATAAAAATATACTAGCTTTAAATTAAGTTTAAACATTTTCTTGGAAGCAGATATGTGTAAATATTCTGTATTATATTTTATCATCTGTTTAATACTTTATTGATGTACATGTTACCCTGTGCGTGAAGTATAATTTTAAAAATATTAGAGAGACCAACAGCATTATGGAAAATTACTAAATTGATTAACATTTTTCTCACTAATATTATAAATGTAAAAGTTTATATGTTTGGGTGGATGTTTTATTACTCAATCACACCAGAATGGCTGAACGGATTTGGATGAAATTTTGCACAGAGGACTGATTATAATTTGTCCCTTTTATCCTGGAAAAATGTAACATTCCCGTGGGATAGATATATTATTGGTTTTCTAGAGTATCCTATAAACCAAATTAAATTATTAACAATCTATTTCTAAGCAATCTGTCACTTTTTGAATTGTCATAAAAAAATTACATACAGATGAACAGCGAACCTTCTTCTTTTTTGGAAGTCAGTTAATAAAAACTAATTTCCATCAAAACATAGTTTCTTGAAGAGGCAAAGACATACTAGAGAAAATAGAAATACAAAACAATGTGGAACTAGACAATTCAAACTTTAATATACCTTGACTAGGTGTAAGTGCATGTTGTTCCAGCAACAAGTCCAAAGCCTCATAACAAGCACAATCAGCTCTCAAAGCTGCGGTCAATGCCTCAGCCGCTGCTTCTCTACGCTCTAGTGATGACAGAGCCTTTGCTTGCCAGATTAACACTCCTGCCAATGCCCTCTGTTTTAAAGGAGCAATGTAAATTAAAATATATTATTATTATATTAAATACTCATAAACTATTTGATGAGGATTTATAATTAAATTCTACCTATGGATCTGTAGGCATATATGCCAGCCACTAGACCAGAGAGGTTTTTTTATATACAAAATGAGTAAGGTATGATAATAAGATAAAGCCTTATACATTATTCTTAGTAATCAATAGTATTTATACAGTATATGATATAGCTATATCGTAATTAAAATAAAGAGTAAAATCATATCTTACATTATGTGTTTGGTCCATGCTCCTTGGTTCTAAAAGGCCTGGGTCACATTCTTCTAGAATATTAATTGCCGTTGTGGGCTCTTTTGCAGCTATGTAAGCTCTCATTGCCACTCCAAGACATAGTAGATGTCTTCTATACAATGAAAGACAATTGAATGTAAATAAAATATATTGCCATTATTTATGAGCAACATTTTGCTTTATATTAACATTCCATGTCCATACTAATATTATAAATACAAAAGTAACTCTGTCTGTCTATTTGTCTGTTATTCATTATATTATATACTATGTTATTCATGCCTAATCTGCAAAACTGAAATAGATGAAATTTGGTGTGGAGATAGTTTGAGACCCTGCGAAGGATATAGGATAGTTTTTATCCCAGAAATCAAGCCTTAAACGGGTGAGAAGAGAGGTACAAGTCTGTGTGGGGAATCAATTGTTTCTCAACTAAGGTTTTTTTTAAAGTACTTACCTACTTTTCTATATCTATGTATATACATATATATAGTCTATTCTAAACTAACCGTTAATCACTAGTTTATAATTACATAAACAGCAAGTATTTAACCTGTGTAATCCTCTAGAAGTGACAGCATGTGCAGCTCTATGAAGCTCACCACGAGCTAACATAGCACTAGCAAGTAACCAAACATCATCTCCATTTGCAACTGTTGGCCCACTCGATGCAGCTGCGGCTGCGGCATCCGCCCAGAAAAATGCACTCGTCCATTGACCCTTTAAAATTAATACTAAGTTCTCATGTAGTGATGAACAATCTTTCTGCACTAATTAATTTATCGTAAATGAATTTGCAAATAGTTTTTAACTCTGCTAAACTGATTACTCACCAATTCAGTGTACTGTTTTACTAGAGATCGCATAAAATCTACATTAAGGCAATCGACATTGTTTCTTGTAGCAGATTCTGCTTTTGCCATGGTATTAGTTATTTTTAACAAGCACAATTGATTTTTATACTTATTTATAATGTATTCATAACATTTACCTAAGTAAATACAGAATTCATGTGTATTTTGAGCGAAATAGCCGTTTCTTGTTTATTTTTATGTATCCCGCCGTGACTTTGACATATCAATTAATAATTATCATAATTCTTATAGTACAAATACTCTTCCTGTTTTCTAATTACAGAGCATAAACGCACTTTGGCGCACAATACCGAAGTGTGCTAATGCTTAATTGGAACGTGAATTAGTTTTCGAGTGCACCAGGAGAGGACACTAGGTTCAGTGTTGAAAGAAAAAATATATCTAACTAATAAATATAACATAAATAAAATATAATAATATAAATAAAATAGAAAACAATTATTACTAACGATAATGTAAATAATATGTTGATCAATACCTCCTAGAAGCTTCATACTTATTACATACTTACATTTATTTTTAACAAAGTATATATTTACTTTTATATATTTTAAGAGACTACGTCGAAAGCTTTACAAATTAGTTCAACAATGAACAATAATACTGACAATAATTGTAAATATTTTTTTGTAGAAAAAACATTTCTTAAGTTTATTTTCTGCTACTGAGTTGGCATCATTGCACGCATCATGCCAAAGCAGTACTTTTCAAAATGCTCGATTGTGCGGAGCGTTGCTGTAGTTGAAACATTCGAAATTAGGACTATGCCGCATAATACGCTTTAGTGTTCTAATTGGAACACAGGGTCTATTCATATTTTAAGGATACGTATATTATAAGCTACTCGGTGATGTCACATTGCAGCAGTTTTAGACTGGTTTCAGACGGTGGTATTTATATGTAGCAATATACTCTATGGTGGTATCTATTATTATATAGAGGTTTTGTTATAATTATTTCCAAAATAAAAATTTTATAAATTATCTTCCATTTCATATATTAAGGAATCTTAAAATACTACATTTATAGGAATATATGAAATCGAAAGTTTATGTAATAATTAATATACAGATAAGTTATATCTTTATAACAAGTTTGGCCCAGTTATCCCATGCTGTCATTTGACAGTTTGAATTTTGATGACGGAAAGAAAAAGGTTATACACTGAAAAAGAGGGAATAGGCTGATTATGATTAACTTATTGTAAAAACAAGTAGAATATAATAAAAGTGTTCGAGAATTTGTTACTTTGTATAATATAAACATTAAATTATAACTTTGTAAATAGTCTGATAGTCAAAAGAGCTACGTGTCCTAGGTTAGGCCGTTAGGGAATCATGTTAGTATTGGCGTAACATGACTGAAAGAAAAATGTGCAAATTCTATAATTTGAATGTGCCTGACCGCCGATCTGGGGAGAGTGGGATACACAACCACGTGAACAACGATGACGACGATCGTAATCAAGACGATCCTCTACAGCCGTATGTGCCCCCACACGAGCACAAACTCGAGTATAGTTACTGGATGTGGTTCTCGCGGAGACCTCCAGCTAGAGAACTCTCCGCAACCACCACTGGCTATGGACAGGTAACTTGCTTTAACCTTTAAAAGAATATATGTTATGTCCTAACTATAACTGCTAATAAATTTTAAACGAATGTTTACCTTACTATTATACATTAACTTTGAATAATTAAAACAATCAACTTTTGTTTGCTGTAAAACTTTTTGTTGAGCCATTATTTCATTATTGCTTATTAGCATTCATTTTTAATGTTATGTTGCGATTAAAAGTGACAGTATACAGATATTAAAGTTTATAAATATATGTTGTTGGTAACTTTGAGTCCTGACTCCAAAGATAGAATAAAAAATAGCATTATTTTAAAGTCAAACATATCAATTATCAGGTCTTTTATTGTTATATAAGATAAAATGTAATCAAAGTGTCAGTTTTGTTTATATCAATGTGTGATACATGATAGTATAACCATTATTTTTTTTTAGATGTGCCATTTGGATAAGTTTATTATTATTGTAATAATTATATAAAGTGCTAATTTTGCAGGGTGGGAAACCTAAAATTTTAAAATACATCTCTTTCTTCTTCTAAAGTTATCAGTCAAGGTTAAACTATATCCAGGTCTCTGTGCATACACCACTATTTTTATATGTCTTTACGAGGACAATAAATTAATGTCTAAAGCTGTTTCATTGAATCTGATTGAACAATAGAATAGAAACTTAGCTAGGTTTTGATTTAGATAAACTTTCAGATTATCTTTCCAAAACAAATATGTATGAAAACTTAAATACAATTAATTATACATGCATAAAAAATGTATAAATTAGATTTGATCAAACAAAAAATTTAATCTGCAAAAAATGGCTAGAATTTTATATATTTTATGTAGGTATGGAAAAAATAATAATAATAATACATAATTTAAATGTATACAGTGAAATGAAAAAAGTAGTATCAGTAACTAAACTTTACTTTTTTTAACTATACCACATATCTCTGCTTACTATTAAAAAATAATATTAAAATGTAATATTTCTGTAAGTATCTTGTATAATGTAGCTTCTAGTGTATTTTTTAAAGTTAAACATTATATATGTTTACAATTGTAATTTATTTTATCATAATATACAATTATATAAAATTCACTATGTATTATATTTTCTGTTAGATAATGTAACGCTTAGCACTATAGATGATCTCAGAAAGTGTGAAGTTGTTGTGAAAATTATGTTTACTTAGTGGTTACTTTCGGAATTTACAAAAGCTTCTTGTAGTACTATTTACTTGACAATGAAATTACTAATTACTTATCTACAATCTGGGTTTGTTTCTGTAATCAGCTCTGGGTTTTATTGAGTGAGTCTCAGTCTACTGCACATTGACAGCCTCATGATGGGTTTCCAGAGCAGATATCATACATAAACCAAATAGTTACCTTAATGTACTAGTGCTTTACCCTCACCTCGTTCAGATAGCTATAGCTTCCTACCTATCATTAGCCCTTTGTGTTACTCCAGCTCATAGTCTATTTGTACAAATTTCTCTAAAGCTCTCTTATCCTTACAGCATAGAGGAGTAACAAACACACATCACAACTTTTGTATTTATAATCTACTCGTCTGATTTAAATATACAATGCTACAGGCTCTTCGTCTGGTGGGTCGCGTGGCGTCTGTCGAGCAGTGGTGGGGTCTGTACACGCACTTAGCGCGGCCCGCGGAGCTCCCGCCCCTCTCTGACCTTCATCTATTCAAGCTCGGCATCAAACCTATGTGGGAAGATCCGGCAAATGTGAACGGCGGGAAATGGGTAGGTTCTAGTTTGTAATCTGTATTGATAATAATTACTGTACTTTCTATGTATGTAGTCTTGACATGGGAAAACATCTTCCATTAAAATTTTTATATAAAGTATAAAAGATATGAATAAATCGGTTTAATTTTAAAATATTCAACTGAGCTCAACCTCTTAAGTGTCATAAAATTAGGACCACATTAATGGTTATTATCTTTATACACACAGCCAAAATTAGAGGAACATTCTTCAAATTTGCTTTTTGTTAATAGTTACGTTTAGATCGTGTTTTATAACTAAATTTAAATTCCTATCCATATTGAGTAATATTTAAATTCCAGGTGGTAAGGCTTCGCAAATCGCAAACAGGACGTGCATGGGAAGACTTGTGTATGGCGATGCTCGGGGAACAGTTCATGGTGGGGCCGGAGCTGTGCGGCGTAGTGTTGTCTGTGCGGTTTCAGGTTAGATTTATAATTTTTTTATGTAACACTAGCTTTGGCTCAGGTGCCGGTCGGTTTAGTTTATTTTTGTATATTTTTCCACTGCTAAAATTCATAGCATGTTTTTTGAAAACCTAGTAATTTCAGAGATTTTGAAGCCAAATAGACAAAAATAACAAACAACCTCTTTAGCTTTATATTACATATTATAATTATAATTGAATATTAGTGTAATAATTTCGTATAAAATTAGGTTTTTTTTATTTAAAGAATATTAACGAAATCGGTAAAATTCTAGTAGATAATGTGTAGAAAGCAATGCAACATTTGAAGTGTATTTCCTCATAATTTAGAATGTTATTAATCCACCCTATGCCGGCTTTAACATTAGCGCCGCTCCTGGGTATAATTAAAAATTCCGCCCTATTATCGAAATTTTGAATAAAATGTTGAAAGTTTAAATGTTTTTAATTTTTAATTTTTTTTTTTGAAAAATGCAAAAAAATAATTTATTAATGATATCAATTTTTCGTAAAATGTACCTACTAGTTAATCTTTTTTTATTTTTCATTTTTTGTAAAATTAAAAGCATTTTCGATAACGCGAAGAATTTTTTTTTCTCCTAGTGCCGAGTACCCTTAGTGTAAATACAGAGCTGAATCCACCATTTATTAAAATAGAACTCACTACATTTCTCAAAACGAAAGGGTTGTCAAACAAAATTCCATATTCCAGGAGGACCATCTAGCAGTGTGGCACAGAACGGCGTCAGACATACAAGCGGCTGGACGTGTACGTGACGCTCTCCGTCGTATTCTACAGCTGCCAGCCTCCGTGCCAATAGAATACAAGGCACATGGCGACTGTCTGCGAGCTTCAGCCAATGCCAGCACCAACGTCAATACCAACCCCACCACCAACACCAATGCCACCCCCAACACTTCGCGCCATGAAGAGGAACGCTCATAGCGAACTGCCAGACCAACGTAGAACAGATACCGATGATAACACAGTATAAAAATCCATACAGAAGTTCTCCTTCAATCTTAACGGAAATGTGGCTTTGTGCTTATGTCAAAAATATAAATATTGGTGGTTTCAAAATTGATAATAGTGCCATCTCGTGAAAAGTTATAGTTTTACGCGTCAACCCTAAACCTACATCCCGACTGTCATATGAAAGTATGTATGACCGCCGGGAGCTTCTCCTCCGCTCCCGCCTTCTTCCGCACGGCCCTGTCTGAATGCCTTCTTAGGACGACTGTATGGATTAGTACACTGTGACAACACTTCTGTGAAGTTCAAATTCAAACTAACCTGCTGTAATTATATGATGTCCTGGTATCCAGATCAAAGCAGAACCGTAACCAAAAAATAACACTCAATCTATAATGTTCAAAAATCAAACTAACCTCTTATTGTATATGATATCCTGGTACAAATTTCTAACAAAACAATAACTTCCAAAATGAACGTTACTCGTCAATATGACTATATCACTTTGTGATTGTAATAGAAATCAACTTCACTGGCAGTTATAAACATCAATATCGCAATAAAACACAACCCTATATCTCTTATAACAAAGTTCAAATTCAAAACTAATTATTGCAGTAAATTATCGTCCTGTTTATTGTAATTTCGAACATATAAAACTATATCAATCAAATATTATTGAACCATACGCAAACAGGTTTAAGCGTTAAAAAAATCAATTGAAAAGTATTAGCAGATGAGTTCATTTAAAACTCAATTTTATTTACATATTAAAAAGGTTCATTATAAAACGCAGTCGTTATAACATCCATTAGATATGAGATATAAATATACCATGAAAAATTCACTTATAAGTGACTTTGATTTTGTTATAACAAAACTGAATATGAAAAAATAATTATCAAAAAAGTATCTTATGTCCATTCAAAGCTTAAATTTGATATTATATGTGAGATTTACAACACTAGACTGGTGATGAAAACTTTAAAATACTAATAGCATCGTAAATTGATGTAAAAGGCTTATTATTACTGAATGGAATAAAGTTCAAATTCCCTTGACATTACATCTTGGTGATGTCGGTCCTTAGTAAAAGTGAATGTACAAAAATAGCAGTTCAAAAACTCACGCAATTTTTCAATTTAACTCTAAATCTACTGTAAATCTTGGTGTAAATAATTACTTGTGATGAGAACTAAGTGTTTGCGGGTCGAAGTTTTATTTTTGTAAACGAAAATTAAACTGAAATTTTTCTGTATGAAGACAAGCCTAAGTTATTAAAAAATTATTCACTTAACCTAACTTAATGGCCCTTAATGGTAAATGAGATTAATTTATACATTTAATATTTAGGTATAATGAGAGGGTTCACGCAAAACGCCACTAGCTAAAGAGGTCGACAAAAGAATTATCTTAAAGAAAATTTTAACAAACATTTTTTTTTAATATTCAAAGTAATCTTAATAAATTCATCTCTCAAAATTCACCTCTAAAGATATGATGTCCTGAATACCAGGACATCATATCTTTAGAGGTTTTAATAGAATTGAAATCTCATTGACGTTTATATAATGTCAATCGGTTTTTTTTGTTATAGCTAGTGGCGCCACCACCGACGAAATTTGCAGTAAACCCCATTATTTCTAAATACTATGATTTATTTAATAAGCGATGGCTACAAATATCTAAGCTCAGTTAATCAATAGTATGAAAATTGAACATATTGAAACCTTATATTTTATAGTGAAATGTTTTAATTTGAGTGACAAAAGTTTGTAATCAGTTTTAAATGTTTGTATGGTTTGTACATGATGTACATAATATGTAGTGTTGAAATTCTAAGTTTTGCTCGGCGGGCTCGGACACGTCGCCACACACCCGCTCCCCTGTACATTGTGAACTGCATCACTAAATAAAGAATCAGACTTTTCATACTTTGAATTTTTACTTTTATTTAAGCCCTATTCTTGTTAGGTTCATTCTATCTATATCTAATAATTACCATGTTATTTTTATGTATCTGTGTAATTGTCTGTGGCATCATAGCGCCAAAAGCGGATGAACCGATTTTAATTTAGTTTTTTTTTGTTTTCTCTATTAATTTTTGTTCCTGCTTCCTGCAGACCCCATGATAATGGCATACACACCTGATTAATACACGTACTTATGTACATATTAAAATAATCGTTTTGGTTATAGTAAAAAAAGGATATGAAATAAAATACCAGCGGTATGTCTAGAAAATATATTTTAGTACATCAAAATTTCAACAGACATTTATATTTGTTAATTAAAATAAAAAATAAATGATAGACATCGTCACGACACTCTTAATTCGACTACAGATCGAGGAATCTCATATAACGTCTAAAAGTAGCTAAACTAGACGATCTAAATTTTTCCTACAATATCTTACAATAATTATATTAAGCTGTGGACACACTCACGTGAATAGACACTTCTTTTAGATTGACGACCCCACGTACCTATAAATAATACTATAAAAAGGTAAAGAAAACCTTTTTTTATTCGCTTTAAAAAAGAAATTCATATTTTCCTAATAAAAACAATATTAAAATTAAGTAAGTAATGTGCATTGCTTATATAATAATTTGCTACTCAAAAAAAGTTTGCTTTTGAAAAAAAATGACTAATGAGCAGTCCGTCAATCTAGAAGCTGTGCGCAGCACGCGTATTAACATAACAGATTTAACAGTAACAATAAAAATATTATAAATAGCGTAAAGCTTTATACATGTAATAGCAACGATCAAAATAGTACTAGATACACAATCCCATGCAAATATTCTCTTAAAACTGTCACCGTTGAACGTTAAATGCAATGCTTAAAGTTGTTTTCATAAAAAAAGAAATTAAATTAAGAGCGCGCTCAAAAGTTCAAATGAGCGCTCATTCGGTGAGGACATTTTTGTCACTCATTGTATATCTAGTACTTTTTGATCGGTGTTTAATAGGCACGAAATTGCTATACGATTTCAAAAGGTCACGGGTACTAAAATACGAATAATACCACCAGAAAGTGACAATTTTCAAAACAATTGATTAGGCCATTTCGTCATTATAGTCCAGGAGATTGGTGTAATTTTGTAAAAATTCAAACATTTTAGTGGTGTAAAGGTTAAAATTGTTATATGCAAAATCTTTTTTTGTGTCCACAAGGTAAAACTGACATTCAGAGTCGAATCCTAATATAATCTTAGACTAACTATATACATTTGGCAACTCTCTTAGTCTATGTATGGTGATATGCTCGGCGTAGGAAAACAAACCGTATTTCCTGTTGATATTTATTACAATATGCTTATAAAATCACATTTTCATGATACACCTTACAACGTTCCTATGTTTGAAGACCCTCTTTACATATTTTTCGTACGAAGCTGTGAGGGCGTGATGAAATGAATTTGCTGTACGTTTAAACATATTCAATATTACCTACTGATTACTAGTGTTTGTCTTTTTGTATGATTTGAGACAAATATATATGTATATTATATGAATGTTACATACAAAATATGCTAATTTTCGATGCTCGCTAATAAACTTTAAAGAGCTTAACAAATTACATTTAATTATAACATCATATCGTCGCTGTGCCTGCAAAAACCGACAAACGAAAATATTCAACTTTTCAGTAGAAACAAAAAACTAATTTTAACTTCTGCCAACGTATGTAGAAAAAAATTGAGTATGTACAAAGTTCTCTAGTCTTACAACATATGCCTTCCTTAAAACCTACATTTTATTTCTTGTTTTCACAAAATAATCTTTCTTAATTTAATTTCTTAAAATGACACATAGCTTCTTTTTTTGCGCCCCAAATACAGCTATGTATTATTCTACCACATAGCGGGATTTGCACAGTACTAATGCTTAAAAGAATATTGTTTAAAATACACTAGATAATTAATTCGCGCCTAAGGCTTAGCTTGAAGTTAGATAACGTACAACTTCCCTCAATAAATCCATACTAATATTATAAATGTGAAAGTGTGTTTGTTTGTCTTTCTTTCACGTCGAAACGGAGTGATGAATTGGCGTGGTTTTTTGTGTGGAGATAGTTGAAGGGCTGGAGTTTTTTTACTCCGGAAGATTATCTAATTTCCACGAGAAAACACGATATACAATAGGAAAAAAAATATGATCAGAATTACTTGAATCTTGGTATTAACGCTCTTCAATGAAATTAAATAAATACATGTTTTAGAATTTTTCGAAATTCATCCTATAAGGGTGTGAAATAATGGATGAAAGTTTGTATGACTCTACCTTTTAAGAGAAGCCGCGAGCGAAGCCGCGGGTTTTGCTAGTAAGCTATAAAAACAAACATTTTTTTTTTTCAAATTGGACCGGTACTATCACAGATTAGTGCGTTAAAAAAAAACAAACTCTTCTACTGTATATAGAAGTATAGATTGTTTTTAAGATTAAATTAAAAATCTTATACTAGGCCAAATAATTTTTATTAAAATAAAAACTTAAACTTAAAAAAAATCTGTATTTATTAAGACAAATACTATAATTTATCGCTCCGTCAACTACTGTATCATCACTTAGTCAGGGTACTTTATTAGGCTATTTCAATTTTTTACTTTAGCATTTTACGAAAAGTTAAACTTGACTTGTCTGTGAAAGTTCTCATTCTTCACAAAATATTGAAAAATAGTGTTCAAATCGCATTATGATATGGAGGCTGCGTCCAGGAGGCAGTAGTAGCCCAGTGGTAACATGCTCGCTTGGGAGATCGACTGAAGCGGGTTCAAATTCCGGGTGGAACCTATGATATTTTTATGTGCGAATTATTTCCATATCTGATATAAGATACAAGTGCACACTCTATTCTTTTCACTCTCATACGCCGGTGGCGCGGCAATTCGACACGACCGGTGAGAGATTGACGACATTGAAATTAAAGCCTACATAAAATGCAGAATAATAATAGTGCATAA